GAGCATGCCTGTCCAAAGACAACATTCTATTTCCTCTTTGTAATCAATCTTGAGGAGTCTGGGCAGATAGACACAGGCACAGTTGTTTCCTGAGTGGATTTCTCAGTCCTGGCTTCCCCTCTCAGTATTTTGCCACTCGCTGAGCTCTGGCCCAGAAGCTACCTTCGCTGCCAGGGCCCCTCATCTCTCAGCCATCCTCTTCCTTGCCCTAACCTGTGTTTATACTTCAGACTTCAACATGGGTGCCTTATTGTCTTGTAATTCTTAACACTTCCAGTCTGGATTGGATCTTCCTAGTTGTTCTCAAAACCCTTTGTCTTGACCCAAATTTTAGGATGACCTCACTCCATTGTAATCATTCCTTCCCACCCCTCTCCTCCATTAACTACTCCACTCCCTGAAAGCAAGTGCCAAGCTTTGTCTCCTCAGCCTCAGTGCTCTACATAAACCTGGAATATAATTTGTTGCTTGAAAAAATTAATGCATCTTTACATAGAAGATGGAAATAATGTTATGTCAGAATTGAAGGCATCATCTTTTGCTACTTGATAGCTAAGTGACTTGGAGTAAATTACTCAAATACCTAGAAGCACCATTTTATGCTCTGTGAAGGGGAATAATAAAATACCTTCTTTATTGGTGCTATAGTTTGGCTATGTCCCCTCCAGACTTCAGGTGTTGCCAGTGTGATAGCACTAGGAGGTGAGGCCTTTACAAGCTGTTAGGTCATTAGAGCTCTTCTCCCATGAATGGGATTAGCTGCTCTTATAAAAGGGGCCTGGCAGCAGCCATAGGCTCTCTCGTCCTTCTGCCTGTTACTGTGTGTGCAGTAAGAAGGCCCTCACCAGATGCCAGCACCTTGATGTTAGACTTCCCACCTCCAGAACTGTGGGAAATAAGTGTCTGTTCTTTATAAATCACTCCATCTCACCTATTTTGTTATGGCAGCAGAAAATGGACTAAGACAACGGAGAGCTTCAAGAATTTAATTAGATCCTCTACATTACTAATAACGTTATCTATGATAAAATTAGGAATATCTATGGTGGTTACTGTTACGCTTATCACCTGCCCTTGTATATTTCTGTTCCTGGAGTCAGAGATTTCTACTCCGTCAGATAAAGATCCAAGACAAAGAGCCAGTTGCCTCTTTCCCTCTGCCGTATGCCAAGAGCCACACCCAAGATCCCCGTATTCTCTGGCCATCTGTTTGCACTTGAAGTATCTTCAATATTCCTCTGTGAATTTCCTCACACATGCTTCAGTAGGTATGACAGACTTGCTTAGAAATAGTAGCTTTTTGCCTTCGGACTAATTACAGTATTAATCACCAATACGGAAGTACACTGGCATTTTCACGCAGAGATGTGTCAAGGCCCTGATGTCCATTATAAAATTCTATTGGATCCCCTCATTACATATTGTTCTCTGTGGTTTTTATTCAGCCTGTTTGCCAGGGGTGGGAATGTCCTACGGTGCCAAGAATAAATATTCTGAGAGGTAGCTAGAACACAGGGGCTCCAAAGGTATGAAACAATGTGGTGATTCTTCTCTAGTGCGTGTGTGTTATGATCTAATTATCTCCTACACAACAAGGTTAACAGGATCTCACCTGGTAGGTTCAGGTGTCTTGCCAACCCCCGTGGAAAAGCTGATCCTAAGGCAAAGGTGCAGCTTTCCACAGAGTATTGTTTGGCTGCATGGGCAGATAATGGTCAGGCTAGAATGCAATAGAGGTTTCCCTTCATTGTCACCTAGAACACTTACTCCACCTTTCCATCATGAACATGCCACTTATTTGCTACCTTACAAAAGATTTGTCTGAACATAAAACCGTACACAATTTGGTGTGCATATTTTTTCAACACTGATCCCGTTTCTATGATGTAAGCATTAATTAAAGCATTAATACCTATTATGTCCCACGGCTAAAAGCTTTGTATCTCTAATCTCATTTAATCCTAAAATGCTATGAGATAGCTATCATTAGTCCCATTTTACAGATGAGGAAACTAAGGTTTAACAAAGATAAATAACTGGCAAAAAATATATAGTCATTGAGTAGTGTAGAGAACAGAGCCTCAATAATAAGTCTCTAACTTTAAGCTTTTGAAAAGTAAGCCAAGGTTTCCTAATAACTTTTTTTTTAATAACTTTTTTTTTATAACAAGGTGTGTGACGAGGTATGAAAATAAGCAGAGGACATGTGACAAGTGACTTCTCATAAATAATCAAATACATAATAACGTATATACGTAAACACATAAATCATCAAATATGGATATGTTCTTGAGAAGATATAAAAATTAAGAGGATGTTTAAGAACTTTACGTGAAGCTATTTTGTTGGCGGGGAGGGTAGCCTTCACATGTACACCTGCACAACATGAGTCCCACTGTGCCCGGCAGGGGAGTCTGCTGACCTGGCAGAAAGCAGGATAGAACATGGATTTTGAAGCAGAAGCTCAGTATCTAGTCCTGGCTCTGCCATTAACATGGGAAAGTTACTAAATCTCCCTTGCCCTTGGGTGTTTTCATTAGTAAAATAAATGGTTTATCTAGTTCAGTGGTTTCTAAATATTGGCCTGTGGGAGAGTTTTCCTAAGTCTGTGGTAAAATGAGAAAAATAAGGACAATGGACTTCTTCATGAAGTTAAACTCATTTATTTTATAAATCCAATCAAATGGCTTGCTTTGATGAACCATGGGGATCCCCCCCCCACTTTGAACATCCTCACATAGCAAACTTCCAGTATGTTCTCTATAATAAAACTCTGATATTAAAATTGTATGTGTTTTTACTGATCCATAAATCCAAAGGTCTAAACCAGACTGTATAATCTGAAATGTCCTTCCTAGCTCTAAAATGCTAATCTCTTCTTAAATCACAAATACTAAAAAAAAAAAAAATACTATTTAACTAATTCTAAAGTAGGAGAGAACAAGAAAAGAAAAAGCTTTTTATCTCTCTTTTTCTTTTCTTTTTTAGCCTCCCATTTCCCCAATGTGTTCTGTGACAGATAAGCCCCTCACCCTGTAAGGTATCATAGCGGTTCTACTAAAAGAGGGTTCTTTATCAAATGAGTTTAAAAAACAATGGGTTAAAAAAGTTCAACAATTAGTGTGACTCTCCTCAAAAAGACAAAGCAGCAAAGGCACCCCAAGTTATTGACAGAAAGCAACTGCCTTTCGTCCCTAATCCCACCCATTGCAGGACAGTGCACCCATGCCTGGAACACAGTTTGAGAAAGGTGACTTTAGCTAAAAGAAAGTTCCTCGATAGATGCCATACTACAGAAAAAAACACAGCATTAAACCCAAGGAGATTGTAGCTAAAATTTCATGAGTTTTATTTTAAAATTATCAAAACTGAATTTTTTCTTTAATTTACAAAAGAAACCTGGGTGAAAACACTTCAGGCTAATGTGCAATGAACTAGACAAAAGGGTTTTGGCCATTTTTGACAACTAGGTGAGTTTTCTTCTTTGCCGTTAAAAATAAAGGAAAATTATGTCAAGAGATTTGTATCCAGTGATTGCAACACAATAATTAAGGCACTTGGAATTGGCAGAAGTTTACAGTAACAAAATTAAGGCTATCATCCCTACACAGGGGACAGAAGGTAAAACAAAGCCATCTGTAGGCAGTGACCCTGAGAAAAACCCCCAGACTCTTCTCGAATGGTGTATCACAGTTAAATATTCCATAAGTATTAGCAACAATTCATTCTGAATGTTGGAGGCTCGTAATTGATTTGTTCAAATCTCAGTTTTACTGTGATCAAGGAATAAAAATTTTAGCCGAAGGAAAAGAGCTCATAGTAGTTTTCTTTTTTAATTTTCCTTTGCATAATTATTTCCTCAGAGTTGAGGTTTACATAGTCTTTTTTATTACTTTTCACATCGTGTAAAATATCAACTAGCAAAATGCTTCAGCTTTCACATTCTGGATTCAAGTTTCACTTTACCCACAGAGGAAGGAACAGTTTTTACTTGGGTCAAGATGATCCTGAAATAAAATATTCAGAGAGAGGACCTAAGAATGATCTTTTGGATATACGGACACTATCAGCCTTTCTTTCCGACTGAAGGCATCCCAGGTTTTTGACAAGCGTGTGGCTCAGCACTACCTCCAGTATTTTCCATCATAACTGCACGGTAAATTCCAGTCTGTTTTTCATAATCCTGCTGACTACAGCAGTCTCCAACCATAAAAAGCCTTCACAGACCTAGAGTTGGCTTAGAAAAGTGCCTCTGCAGAGGAACAAAAGTACATACAACATTTATGTGCAAAGACAGGAGAGAGGCAGCAGCCTCTTGTTTGGGTTCTGATGGGCTCAAGGAATTTTTTTTTAGGGTCTAAATATAGAAATTTTAATTTTCATCTGATAACATTTGTAAACAAAATACCAACACTAAAATGAGAGCGACTTAGCCAGGAAAAGGGGGAGTGTCTTGTCCAGCAGATCAAACACTCTTCCAAACTCTGCTGGACGGAAGTGTCTACAAATTAGCACATGACTGCACTTTGGGCTGAGCAGCCTGGACTCCCTCAGCCTCATAGTTAACAGGTATGTTTGAAGTTCACCCCCCAAATTCCAGGCTTCAGAGCTAGCCTCTGTTGAACCTTAAGCTAATCCTGGGAGGGTGATAAAAATACCAAACACCTAATTTTAATAGAGTACAACAGCTATTTACATGTTATGATTCAACATACAAATACTACACTTTGAAACTATACCGCTCAAGTTCCCGTGAACTTCTGCTCAACTTAATAAGAAGTTGGTTTTCATTTTTGCCATCAAGAGTTGCAACTGAAAAGCAAGTAACAGAGAAGGGGAAAATAAAAGTTTAAGCACCCCCTTCCCACGTTGGAACTTTGACTCTCTGCAGAGTAACTCTAGTCCCCCCAGATGGAAAAGCAGAGCATATTTAATATCAGCATTTAAAAACCAGTCTATCTTAAAACTACTTTAAAACATAAAACATCAGGGCTACTTGCCTTTTGGCAATTTCTGTGCATTTCCCAGGGCTAGTGCAATACTTCCACAGACAAGTAGACACCCCAAGCTGGACAGCATGTTGCATTTGCCACCTCACACGGGGAAAGATGCTGGTGGGTGCCTCGCAACCCTGGAGCTGCATTTAAGTGGACTGTCTCCCGGTGACAGAGGCGGGCGCTGCACTTAGCTGTGCTGTGGGCTTACTCACAGGGGGTGGAGACAAGATGACATCACACCCTTTCCCACACACACCAAGGGGGGGAAAAAAGCACAACAGCAAAAACATATCATCACATTTCCCTCTGCTAAGTTATAACTGTCTGCCTCTTCCCTTTCCTCTGTTGATAGAAAACTTGAAATTATGGCCAATTTGTATTTGTGAAAGAAAAAGCATTTTGGCAGTTTTGAAACATCGGATGCACTACTTTAGGGAATTCAGGAAAGACCTACTTAAAGCTATCAAAATCTTAAAAATATAAAATAAAAGCTTATTAGGAAGGAAACTGTTTTTAATTATCTAGTAAACCAACCCAATTCTTTTAAATGGGAGTAAACACATAAAAATACACTTTGAGTCATTCTGCATTCAATATTATGAGAAAAAAAGTTACAAGTTAAGTCCTTGGATACACAGCTATACATCATGTATAACATACTATATGTATATATGCCTGATACACATATAATACGTGCATATATTCTGTAGATGTTGATGTAGAAATACAGAGAGCACTAACACTATTTAATCTTTGGCTCTGGGCCTGGTTGTTTACCTATGTTACTGCATTTTAATCTACATAGTGGCTGTGCAAGACATATGGCAATATCCTCATTTAACAATGAGAAAAACCAGAGTGCGGGGCTCAGACAAGTTAAACGTCCTGACGAAACTGGTGTGTTCCAATGGTTAATAATATGATGAGCTTTGGAATACATCTGACCAGGGTTTAAATTAGTATGCTACTTATTAGTGAGATGTCCTTGGGCAAACTTCATCTATAGATGTCAATGTATCTATATGTTCTATATATTATCAATACAGATGCTCATCTTATGCCAAGCATTGACCTGATCAATTTATTCATATTAAGACATTTATTTCTCCAAAGATCAACGGAGCAGACATTGTCAGCACCCCCACTTTACAGATAGAGAAACTGGGCACAGAGAGGTAAGGTAAAGACCCAGGTCACAGGGTTGCCATTTTAAGCAGGTCACTTAACAATAATGCTTCCAGTCTTAGTAACTAAAATTTAAATTCTAAAAAAAGACGACAGTACAAATTTGGTAAGTTTTCTAGCAAGAAGTTTTAGAAAGTACTTACCATAGTGCCTCATACACAAGAAGGATTTCCTAAGTGTTAGTTAACACAAACAACAATAATGGCAATAATAATCATGCCCCAAATTAAACTATCCTTCTAACCTGGGGGTATTTACCTCTAAAGTCTTGATGTGTGCCCTCTTCCCCTATATCACATTGCTCAAACATATAGTCACATTGACGAAATGGCTGTGTTAATAAAGTACTTTAAATACTGTTTCTATATTTATACCAACACTTTGAAAATAGATTCCTTCATTGGGGGGCTGTAACTGAACCAAAAACAGTAAGAGGGAAATGTAATAATGCTGGCCAAATGAAGTTCTGGTTAGAAAACTTACCAAAAGAAAATAAAAATGATGAGACAGCCGTGTCTTCCAAATAAAGCGTGAGAAGGCACATTGTTAAAGTCATTTAGAGCCGGCTTGGTCTAAGCTCTCACCATAGGAATGCTCTGGCACTGGCTACAGAAGGGACTGGCTTATTTAACAGGTCTTTTTCATCTCTGATTTCTTACTTGAATAGACAGCTTGCTCAAACCTGAGTTAGGACCTTTACCCAGCTGGCACCGCTGGTTCTGCTACTATATGCCTTTGCCATCACATTCAGTCAGTGAGGCCGCTGTGTTAGTAGGAAATGACAGGTTTTCAGAGGGGAACAAATCCAGCAGAAATATTGAAAAGAAGGCTGGTTCTTCAAAACAGTATGAGGGGATGGTGCAAGAGTTAGGTCATGGAATTCTGGAATCAGCCTCTGCTTGGCCAACAAAACCATTTGCATTAGCGATTGTTATTTGCAGTTTGGAAATGACTGGACACTAATTAAATAAGGGCCAATCACTGATTCTTTTGTCAGAAAAGAAGATGTTTACATTACTTTAGCTAGTCTGACAAACAACAGCACTCAGGGAAGATGGTGAATGTGTTAGAGCTCTCCTCACACCAGGGAGGAGTAATGGCCATGCCTCTTTTGTTTGTTACACTCCCTAGTGCCTAGAACATAAGAATGCAGTAAGTATATGATGAATAAATGTCAAAAGAAACATAATTCATCAGTTCCTCCAAGTAATCTAAAGATTAGTTCTGGATTAAGCCAGAGAACACTTGCGTATGACCTACCATATACAGTTGATGAGAGACAATTCTCCGAGTGTCTCTTTGTTTCTGCACAGCTTCTGAGTGAGGCTTTAATTCTCTGCACTCAAGACTATCTTTTGAAAAACATTTTTATAATGCTTTTTGCCCTTATAGTAAAAGTAATGTCACCCCCCCCCCCCAAGGCAAAGGGAAAGCATGAATCTTTCAAAATAGAAAGGGATCAAGTTCCTTAAATTTGTCATTACAATCCATGTCATGGGTGGGTACCACCTGTTCCCCAGTTTTGGCCTGTGGAAATTAGGGCTCCTAGGACTGGTGCAAGTGCTCACAGTCAGCCTACTGCTATTGCTTTGAGTAATAAACCAGCCTTCGTCTTGGGCCCAGGCGTCTTGTGTCGCCTGCCAACATCCATTAGCCATGCATGTTATCTTGCACATAGGGTAAAATCTCAGACCTTTCACAGTTCTTGACAATATATTGGCCCACCTTAAAATATTTTATTAGAGCATGCTTTAGTGTATTTGGTATAATGCTGAACGTCAGTCATGAAATCCTTTATTGTACAGAGTAAGAGTGATGCTGGACATTGCTTATTAAATCATATAGTATCTTATTTAAAAAAAAAACCAAAAAGTCCTGGAGAAAGCCTCTCTTCTCTGTGTCAAACAAAAAAGTTGTGACTTTTGTTCTGAACCTCTGTGTTTATTTTGGAACATTGTAACCAGGTTTTCCTTCTGCGCTGATTGCTAGAAAATCAGAGCCAAATGCACCCTCCACCCATGCGAAGTGTATAGGTCTTTGTGATGTGCATTTTTTGACATCATTCCTGGCTTCATTTTTCATCCCCACCCTTATTTCTTGCTTATTTTACTTGGAATCTTAATTTATATGATTTTGTAAGTTGTTTTAATTTGTTTCTGGAACAAGGTGAGGTAAAACAAACAAACCCCACAGACAGAAATTGTGTCAAAAACACGTGTCAAAATATGTGAAATGGGAATCTGAGAAACTGCTCTCAGCTTTACTTCTCCGTACAACAGTAGACACTGCTAGAATTTTGGTTCAGTGATCATATGACATCATTTCTTTACATACATTTCCTCCTTGGGGAAATGGATAAAGTCCATGAGACTAGAAGACATCTAGAACGCTGCTCTAAGTAAGGCTCATATTTTTTAGTCATGTGTGATTTAAAGGTTCAACATGAATTCTATTATCTAAAAAGAGATTTCTATTAAAACACATAAATCTCTGAAATCTTAGAAGTAAATTCTGTGCATTTTCCTATCAGTTCACATTTTTCATTCTCTATATAAGGTACTATATACTAGGAGATCTTTTTAATAGCTTACATGTATGCAATTCATTCAAAGGCATGCCTGGTTTATTTTAGGGAACGCTAAGAAAATAATTTTTAATATGACTCATTTGAAATGAGAGACCCAGTAATTCAGGTTTTTATCCCAAATCTTGTTTCTATAGTTACTGTCCTGAACTAGCCCATAAGCCAATGGGATAAGTATCCTTCTTCAAAGGGGAGTATACTTGGCTAGAGCATGAAGTTCTCTTCCATAATACTTTTTATAGCACAGAGAATTACTTGCCCCTTAAATGCCTTATATTTAAAGGTCGTTCATCAATCTGTTTAAAGGCATCCTGACCTCCAGAGTTTTTGACTTCACAATCTTGAGGTAATTAGCAATTGGTGCTTATAAAAAAGTATAAAGAATCTTTTCTGTTGGTCTAGAAACAAGCTTCTTTACAGCTTGAGCTGCACATAGCTAAGCTAGGAAGAGTGCCTTTCCTGTTTTGTCTATATTCTACTTTCTTCATGGGGTTCTGAGTACCTAGCTGACATGTACAGGTGGAGGGAATATTTTTTTACTTAAGCTTCAAATGATTTAAAAATGGATGGAGTCAAATCTGAGTGGGAAATATAAGTTATTCAACTAGAGAAGGGACTCTGAACAGAAGGACATGTCAGAGAAATATCTTGAAAGTTAGAGTACCACTCACAAAAATTGATTCAAGACAAATAAAAGATTTAAATCTAAGGCATGAAACAATAAAAATCCTTAAAGAAAGTGTGGGGAAAACACTTGAAGATATCAACCTGGGGAAAGAGTTTATGAAGAAGACTTCTGTGCCAATTGCAGCAACAACAAAAATTAATGAATAGCTGAAAATCTTCTGTACAGCTAAGAAGACAAAAACCAAAGCAAAAAGACAAACTTCAGAATGGGAAAAGATATTTGGATATTACAAATTGGACAAAGGCTTGATAACTAGGATCTACAGAGAACTCAAATTAATCAAAAACCAGAAAAGCTAACAATCCCATCTATCACTGGGCAAAAGACATGAATAGAACCTCTCTAAGGAAGACAGATGAATGACTAACAAATATATGGAAAAAATGATTATCATTCCTAATCATCAAAGAAAAGGAAATCAAAACTACCCTGAGATATCACCAAACTTCAGTGAGAATAGCCTACTTCACAGAGTCCCAGAGCTGCAGATGCTGGTGAGGATATGGACAGCAGGGAACACTCTTACACTGTTGGTGGGACTACAAACTAATACAGACTCTTTGGAAAGAAGTATAGAGAATCCTCAAAGATTTCAAATTAGATCTCCCATTTGACTCCTCAATCCCACTACTAGGCATCT